TTCATATTTTTAATTTTATAATTTCTGCATGCCATCTTACCAGATTTAAACTGATGATCTATAATCCGGAATCGCCGAAGTCCCGACGAGTCCGGATTAAAGACTTTTGACTGTACAAACCAGTAAGAATTCGTTCTGGAAGATTCTCTATCCATCTATTGCATATCACAAATTTAGTCACCAAATGGGTGATTTCATGCCAAATATGGCAACCCTAAACCTACTTTATGGGGGAAGCTATCTTACCACAGCTGCACATTTCGTAACAATATATACAGAATTGCAAATGATTACTATGTGCCTCTGTAAAAAAATATAATAAGGTACTTTAACATCACAACAGTCATATAATGAAAGAAAATCATCAAGCACAAACTGCACTGCATGGAAAGAACCAAGAAACTTACTTATTTCTCACCTTTTACCTACACTTATTTTTTAGGTACAATTCTAGTGGTTTTCAGATACGACTAATATGGCTTTAAAAGCATTTTCGACTCTTACGTATTGTTGCTATATATATTCTGCCAACTCAAGATGCAGATAAGCTATATTAGTAAGATAGATTATTAGCAGGAGTATTCTTTAAAGAAAAAGATATTTTGCCTCACAACAGAATAGGCAAAATGGATAGTGAAACCTATATACCAATGAAGGAGCATTGCATATGGAAATACAATGCTAACAGTTACAGATACACTGTGCAAAAAAATAAATAAATGGGACAGTTCTATATCTCTTGTTCTACTGGGCTGATTGACAAAATTGAAATTGTGTTTTTCATGTCTCGAAAGCGCGACTTAGGACATATATTAGATTTATATATAGCTCTATTCTAACATAGTTATTTTGATACAAAATCGGACTTTTTCTGAAATAACATAACAAATTTTTTGCATATTTCTATTCTACGACTCAAATAATGCCAGACTGCCAAGTTTTGTAAAAATCGTATGAATAGTTTCTAAAAAATTAGCTCTCAAAATTTTAGCTCCTCAGTGTAAATTGAATTTGGCATATATTTATTAATATCTATTTTTTTGATTAAACGTTTTTGATTTTTCCTTTCACATTTCAAAATTTAGGTTCATTCTAAATAAAATTCACCTGTTTTTTGTGTTTTATTTTTAAAACATCTATTTTTAAATAATTTTTATAAATTTTTCGAAAAAAATTTTGAATTATAACCTATAAAATTTTTACCATCCTCTTAAAGTAGGTGTAGTTCTAAGCATACCTGCAAAAAATTCAGTCTTTTATTCAAAATTTTCTAAGATATACACGAATTTACATAATTTCACGTTTTGAAATTTGGCATTTGTTTTAGCGATAATAAAGCCAAAAATATTTATATTTTTTAATACTATATGAACAGTTTTTTTTAAATTATAGATGATATTATTCAATTTTTTAACTTAAAAAAAAAAAAAAAAAAAAAAAAAAAGGGGGGGGGGAAGAAAGAAATTTTTAAAAAGATATTTGTGAGAGTAAATTTTTACCTTTGCCGTGTTATCGTCTGCTACTTTACTTTGACTGCATTTAAATTGAACTGTCTAGAACTGAGACAGTTCATTTGATGTTTATTTCCACAATGTATTTAAGCAAACAGGACATTGACAGTTTCTGGGGGCATATCCCAGCTTTCAAAATTATATATATAAGTATAAATTTTTACATTAATCCTCTTTAAAAGAATGATTTAAGTAGCTAATTTTCTCTCATGTTATAGATTGTATAAGAAACATGATGTTTAATATGATTTAGATTGTTTGTAGCCGATATAATAATCGGGTCACTCAGTGGTACACTGCTGGACTGTTTTATTTCTTTGTCATTTAGCAAAAAATATTTTAATTAAAATATTTATCCTCTGGACTTTGCTTTAAACTTTATTTACAGTTAAAATGCCTAGAAAGTGAAAAGTTATTTTCAACTGAAACGCAGTTGATGCAATTGATATTTTTAAAAAATTGGCAAGAATGCAAAATTTATGGAAGTGTAACAATAAAAAAATCTTAATTTTCTTGTGGTGAGCACTGAAAATAAATGTAGAAGGAAAGAAGAAAATTAAGGAGAAAAGTAAGCAAAAATTTGAAGGAGAATTTGGCTGTCAGAAATACCAAGGTGTTTCGAAAAGTTGAATGCTTTTGAATATACTTTCAGAATATGTCAAGGAATTTGGGTGTTCAAAGAGAAAATACTTGGATGTGTACACCAGCAAATACTATCAACTGAGCTTGTGCTAACAGGAAAGACAAAAACGATATCATTGCAGATTAAGTGAAGAGCGACTGGTTTTTGACTATATGTTTGTATAAATTTAAATTACATTATAGAACATCATATTGTCATAAACGAAGAATCCCATGATTTCTTAGTCGAATTATTTGAATATTCAGGAATTTATTCAGTGATGTATCTGGATGTCACCTAAAGATGTTTTCCCCTCTTGATGAAACCAGTCTTTTCTTTCATCTTATGCCTTCAAAATGCTTAGCTTCTAAAGACTGATAAAGGCTCTGACCAAATACTGATGAAATGGATTGAATTGGATTATGAAGTTACGGCAAAACAGGGCTATCTGCCCTAAAAGGAGGTATGCCTTCGTGAAGAACTTTCTAAGGGAAATCAGCTGGCATACACATTACAATGAGAAAAACCATGAAAATGGCCATGCAACCAGCCCGTTCGCTGAGATTTGAACCCCGGAGTGAACTATAGGTGTTCAGCGTCTTTACTGCTTGGGCATTGCTGGGTCTTTATGAAATGAAAGGCGATAACTTTATTTAAAATGAATGTCAGAAATACCAAGATGTTTAGAAAAGTTGGAAGCTTTTAATATATTTTCAGAATGTCTGAAAAAAAAAAAAAAAAAAAAAAAAAAAAAAAAGAGCAAGCCATTAAGAAGAAGAAATAAATTTTTGCATAAAATTTAGTATTTTTTTTAAATTTAAAACTTTTTAATCTTATGATATTTGATTCTTGCGATTTCAAAAATAAAATATTTCACTAAAATATGAATAACATTTTAAGAAACTAAATGTAGTGTGATAAAATTGTGTAAAGCAATGAGCACAATGTTAAAGCTATTTAAAGCAATATATGCAAGTCATCCTAAGTTAAAATGCCGGTTATACATCTTTTCTGAATGGAACATTGAAAGGTGTGTTAACTGTGTTTTACTATATTTTCTCTTTGAATGTATTCAGTTTTCAGATGCATCGTAGTCTGGGACACAAAATATCCTTCCAAAAGAAATGCAACTCAAATAAATAAAATCAAATCCTGGAAAATTTATATTAATAAATATATTTAAAATGCTCAGTTCAATTGAATAAACAGAAAATTTGAAGAGACAATGCGACACAAACAATTAAAATAAAAGTCTAAAAATTTAAAAAGTACCTAAAATAAAAACTGCAACAATATATATATAAAGAAAATTATTTGAAAAAAAATAAGCGATGCAACTTATATTTAAATTATGCAGTTCGAATGGGTAAAGAGAAATTTTTAAAACAGTTATTCGAAAGAAACCATGCAACTTAAACAATTCAAATGAAATTCAAAAAAGAAAAAAAAAAAAAAAAAAAAAAAATAATAAATAATAAATAAATAAATAAATAAAAATATAAAATAAAAAATATAAAGAGCGTTGTGATTTTTCCCCCCTCTCACGGGAAAGGAAAATAGGTTGCCATATATTAAGAAGTTCGGCAAGTAAACTATTCTTGGCGCAAACTGAAAAAAAAAAGGGGGGGGCCAACATAAATTTTTTAATTTCTCTGTAAATTTTGCACCAAATTTTACAAAATTTCATACTTGGGTATAATTCGAGTCATAGAATCGAAATATGGAAAAAAATTGGTATGCTATTTCAGAAAAAGTCCATGTCAAAATAACTATATTAGAATAAAGCTATATATAAATATAATATATATCCTAAGTTGCGCTTTTGAGACATGAAGAACGCAATTTGAATTTCGTCAATTGGCCCAGTAGAATGGGAGATATAGAACTATCTCCCCCCCCTTTTTTTTTTTTTTGCGCAGTATGCAAGTAGAAACAAGGCCAGCTCTCTGTAGTACCATATGCAATTGAAATATTGCGATATCTATATAATTTGTTAAGTTTCTGCTCCTAGTTTGAAATTTCAAAGGAGAACATCCCGTGGGGGGGGGGAGACAACTGAAGTTCTTCTACCTCTCTTACCCTACCATCAAACTTTCATGAGGATTTTGACTTGCCATGAATTTTGAGTGCTCCCTTGCCACACATACACTATACAGCCATCCATTCCTTTTCTAGCATTTGAACCAGGTCTTTCAGTCAATGTCACTAACCACTATCCCACCTAGGAGGCTACTAACAGTTGCAGGAAGTAGAAAGTCATTCATGCTGAAATTCATTCATGCTATGTTGTGGTTTATTTATTTTCAGAAGAACAATTTCCATTCATTAAATGGCATAAGAAGCAGTTAAATATGTGTCAAGCTATTACCTTCCTAGAATAGCTATATTACATGTGCAAGGTAAAGAAAATTTAGACACCAAGAACATTTATTTTATGAACATAAAAAGATAGAGGGCAGGTTTTTTTTTTTTTTTTTTTTTTTAAGTCTAATATAATTTATAAATGAGGAGCTGAAAAAGAAGATAGTAAGGTCAAATGATTAGTAGGTCCCACTAGATTAGGCTACATTTTACAATCCTAACAAAACACACAAGGGCTAAGTATTCATCCCAAAATTGAACAACTTTACACTCTGAAAGACTGAATCTGAAGATCAGGTATTTCTTATTATTTACTACTGACCTCCAGAAAGACAATACTAAACTAATAAGAAGAGGTACTACTATTAAACATTAAATTGCTTCAAAAAGTATCCACAAGATGTTTACAGTAATTACATACATGCAAAAGTTTGATCATGTAAGCTGTTATAAAAATAATTTTAAAATAAAAGCTTCATGTCTACTGGTTTTTGTTACCAACTTACGCTGAAGATTGATTTCTCTAGATGCTCTGTCAATGATTAGAAGTTCATCAAAGGCACCAACAGGTTCAATGAGAAATTTTTCTGGAGTAATATATCTAAAACAAAATGAAACTTAAATTAATAAGTGTGATTAATATTTGACAAAATTTACAAGTAAAAAACAAAACTTAATACCTTTAAAATCTTAATACCAGTCATAATAATTATAATTATCTTGATTTACATTACTCCACAAATATTATATTTTGGTTTCACCCATTTAATATCAAATTAATCAAATCTATCAAAAAATATCTGATTTCTTAGAAACCTATTAACGGATCTGAAACTCATGACTTGAAGACTTTTGTTAGCATCCTATTAAAAAAAAAGACATATGCAAGAAAAATTCTATTTTTAAGCAAGTAATATCCCTGATTTTCCCAAGTTATTAAATAAACAGTTTTTTCCAACCTATCTGGTTTACTTACAAAATATAATAAGTTTGTAAAAAGACTTCTTAAAATTCTTATTCAAATCATAATAGGCATATAAAAGGCAAATGAGAATATTTATTACAATCATATTCATAGATGATGACAGAGCTTAAATTGCGCTGGAACGCACCGGAGGCCGGTTCTAGTACTTCTTAGTTTTTAGGATAAATCATAGTTCTAGCTGGAGTGCACCAGAGCTCTAGATAAGAAGGCTTTGACACTTCTCTTATGCAAATGAACAACAATTTGAGTAGAGATTTGATCTCTAAAATTTTATTTTTTGCAATAAAATTATAGTACAAATCGCTTATTAAATTTTAATTTATCGCTTTACATTTGATTTAATTTTAATTATTATTAATTAATTATATTTAATAATTATTGATTAAATAATTGCCAACTATTATTAATATTAATTAAATAGTACCTAATTAATTTGGTAATAATTCACTATTTCATTTTAAAATTATTAATGATTTTAATAGTCATTTTATATTTATTTACTTTTGCTCCTCTTTGCCGACGTTTTGCCATAGGACTCTGGCACTTCTAATTTTAGAAAGTAAGCCCTAGATGACAATTTTGATGGTACTGGTATTGCTTTACTGGCACTGAACTCGCCACAGAATGATAAAGAAGTAAAACAAAAATTTCATTCTTAAGTAAAAGGCATATCTGCTTACTATTTAATCCTCTAAGCGGCAAGGCCAAATATATACGGCCTAAAATATTTTTTGTGGTATCTGTAAGAACGTATATATATGTGCATATTAAAATATGTCAAAGAAATTAAGGCAATATATCAAAAGAAATCAAATCCAGGTATGAAATACCAGGAGAGTTTTTAGAATAAAATCAGAAAAATAATGTTTTCATAGCAGTTTTGGGAAATTTGTGCTTTCTTAGCGAAAACCCTGGTCACTCAGAGGGTTAATGTAGAAGTAAACAACAAAATTTTACATTTCATCTGTCAAAATATATATTTTAATAGTCATTTTATATTTATTTACTTTTGCTCCTCTTTGCCGACGTTTTGCCATAGGACTCTGGCACTTCTAATTTTAGAAAGTAAGCCCTAGATGACAATTTTGATGGTACTGGTATTGCTTTACTGGCACTGAACTCGCCACAGAATGATAAAGAAGTAAAACAAAAATTTCATTCTTAAGTAAAAGGCATATCTGCTTACTATTTAACCCTCTAAGCGGCAAGGCCAAATATATACGGCCTAAAATATTTTTTGTGGTATCTGTAAGAACGTATATATACGTGCCTATTAAAATACGTCAAAGAAATTAAGGCAATATATCAAAAGAAATCAAAATACAGCTACTAAAAATGGAAGATTTGATAACATTTTTACAGTCAAACACACTGATTTTTATTATCTGGTCATTTAACATTAGATGAATATATTTTAGAGTTTCCAAATCTAAAACAACATGCAAATACATACAAAAAATGCACGTAGAATAGAAAATTGGCAAAAACGCTCACTTAAAAAGAAATGGATATTTTTTGATTACTTATATTCCTAGTTTCAATATCAAATTATTTCTTGCAAAGATGTAATCTTTTCGTAGTTAATGAAAAACTTGCATCTTTCTGCCATTTAAACATTTTTCATAAATATTCTTACTACAAAATGTTTTATTTGATTAACCAATAAATCAAAAGGCATGTTTATTGATTGCACATAATTCATCATGAATAATGATATTTACTAATGCAAATGACAGTCAAATTTGTATTCATAAATGAATTATATTAATATTACGAAAATCTGTGCTATAGCTAAAAGCCAAATAGTATCCATAGAATAAAAATGTCAAATCTGCCATACAGGTTTTTGCCTTTTCCCTAAAAAAATTTCTTGTTTTTTAATAAAATACTTCTTTTTGTTAGTATTTATGAATAAGCAATATCTATATGCAAACAATGCCAATGTGGTAATTTTTTGTAAGGATAATCAGAAAGTACTAGGAAATACTTATAGAACTGAATTCATATCACTTACTGAAATTCAATATTTCCTACAAAGCATTTACATATCCTAAGTCAAAAAGACAAAGAGATAAAAGATTCCAAAAGTAAAACATCTTGTGGAGACTTATAAGACAAATATTTACAGTTTCTTTTTTTACATATCCCATTACAAAATTTAAATTCATTAGAAGAAATTTAGCTTTAGAAATTAGCTTTTATAATGAAATTTTATAAAATAATTCATGTAATAATGAAGTAGTGCTACTTCATGACATGAAGTAGTACTACAAAGCAAGATAAACTTTGGCAATGTGCTGAAATAGATCTGTTGCAAAGGTTTTGCATTTGAAGCATTTGCTGTTCATATTATAACAGAGAATTTACAGTGTGTCACATAAAAAAAAAAAAAAAAAAAAAAATATTTTTCTCCCGGAATATCAAGTTTCTCAAAAATAACAACACAATGCGCATGGATGAAATGGTTGACAGCATCGAAATACACGACAGTCTATGAACGTAAAGAACGTCTATGTCAATACATATTCTTTGCAGCAGCGATCTATAGTGAGTAAGCGCCTTATGGTATGAGTAGTGGTTTCATGCCGGCGTATCGCACGCACGCGCCCTCATCTTCCCTCACTCTCTTCTCCCAGAAACTTTTTTTCTCTCCCGGACTTTGACAGCCAAGAGGTGGCAACACTAGCTGTGGGAGCCACCATAGAGCTGTAATGTACTAGAGAGAGAAACGGCAACCCTGAAGGGGAACAGGAATACGAACCACGTGACATTTGGTACATTTCCCAGATCGTATTTCCCGCGAATCTTCCTTACCATTACAGTTCTATGGAGAATTTGTGAGAAGCAAGTGTTTTGCGTGTAAGCGCATTGTTTCGGACTTCAAAAATGATACTTTCGTGCTCCGCATATGGATGTAATTCCAGATATGTGAAAGATGGAGGAGTAACATTTCACAACTGAGCTTTTTCTAATGTTTTAAAACCTAATTTTATAAAATGTAGAGGTTTTTTTATCCACTCTACTTGCCTTTTTCTAATAAAAATAGATTTTCTAATTTTATATAATATATGCATACTTGAAATAACATTTAAATAAAAGTATCTTAATATATATGTATGTTTCTAATAACTGTTTTCTGAAAAAAAAAAAATGTTAAAATTTTAGTAATACTATATAATTTTAATTAGTCTAGTATTCTGCTTTGGCGACATTTTTTATACGCCAACAGACTGCTTTGAATGCGTTTGTTATATATTCTTAGCGTTTGCTCATGCGGACATGTGCGAAGTAGTAATGTATGTATTTAATACTTAGTAATGTTGATGTAACACTGTGTAAGAACTGCATAAAATTATGTTTTTTTTGGGGGGGGGACATGAATGACTTTATTTATATCCTTTTATTGCATCCAAATATAACAAATTTGTTTACCTTCAATCACGTATTTTCTTTCTTATATCATGTTTCTGGCATTTATTCAAATATTAATAATTTGTTAAGTATTAAGAAAATAGCAATTATATAGCAGTTAAATTTCAAAATTTAATAGTTTTAAGTTTCTTTTTAAAAATAATGAACATTATTTAAATTTTACCTTCTAAAATTATTTAAAATAAGTGCGACTACATTGTGCAACGTGCATAATATATATATTGCTAGTAAAAGGAAGTCTTAATTTACCACCTTTTTGTTTCATAATTTAATTATTTACCACTCTCTCTCTTCCTTTTAACTTATATCTGCTATATTGACATTCATTTTTAGTTCATTTTATTTAATACCTTTCTCACTTTGATTTGCCTACTCTGTAGTTCTCTGTAATACACCGTATTAACACTAAATTTCCTTTTCGTATTAACATTAAATTTCCTTTTCGTACTATTTTCTGTTTTCACTCATTCTTCTTATGTTATCTATTTTTTTTATTTTTTATTCTGTCCTGAGTACTAAAAAGCCTTCTTTTTTATTTATTTATTTTACTTATTTATTTTTTAGTTTGCTATTAGTTTATTATTTAGTTATTAGTTTATTATTTAGTTTGTTCTCTCCAGTTTTTTTAATTTTATTTTAAATTTGGTAGACGCCGATGGACATATTGCAAAATATTATTCTACAGCATGAAAATTATTTAAATTTTAAAAATTAAAATTTAAAATAAAGTTAAATTTTAAAATAAAGTGTTTTTCAATTTTAGGGAAATTATTAATTTTGGCTGGTGTTTATCGATCTAACCTCTTCTGCAAATTCAACGGCAGCTTCTACGAAATGACGTCTTTCCAAGTTCGCATTTCGAACTGAGAGAAAAGAGAGAAAAAAATCGCCAGCCATGGCGATAGTACGCCAAAGTCTGGATTCAGTTCCATTTCATGCCCAAACTCCTGCAGCTCATTCCTGTGCCACTTTTTCACCCGGTTTTGAATGGCGATGCTCCGTCTAGTATATAACAGGTCTATGGGAGCCACCGATGACCAGCAACGCAGCAAATAATAAAAGTACATAATTATAGTAAATATGGATACTGATAAATTTTTTAACAATACCATTATTATAATGGTTTGAAGAAATTAATGCAATATAGAACATACAAAAATAATTTTATTAGTGTATGAAAAATATACATTTTTTCAGTGCATATTGCGATGAGTCAGATTGAAACATTCGAGGCAAAGAAAAGGTGAATCAATGCAGTTGGAACAATATGTCACCACTGTTTTAGTCAAATTCTTTGCTCTAGTTCTTTCTAGCTGCTTTGAATTTTTGTTATAGCACACCTTACATTTTGCTCATTTTCAGGCATTTTTTTTTAATTCATGACGAGGTCTGCTCTGTAAGCATTTTTTTAAGAAATACAATCATTATCGGAGCATTTCATTAGATACATTGCTAATTTCATCCTAAAAACAGGAATTGCAATATTTTTTCGGGTTGCTTTTCTTGCTGTCTGATAGCAGTCACAATATTTTTGAAGGCCTTTGTAAAACTGCACTGTCAGATGATGTACTTGATGAATAACCTTCATTTGAAGCCATATTTTTAAGGGCTAATAAAAAATTGAATGAAAGATATAGAATGCAAAAACGTATATAGAGTGAAAAAATATAACAAACGCACTTACTTGTAGAACACACCGAATAAGACTGAATAATGAGAGTAATCACTTAGCAATCGAAGCACGATTGTTTGAAAAAAGGACAATTGTAACAATTGTCTACCGCACCATGGGGCAAAACTGCTTCAAGCATGATTTTATAACTCATTTTATCTGCTGCAAATAATATTTCAGTATAATATGCATCACATAATGAAAAGTTCACGTCACCGCCTTGGGCAAACCATCGAAAATACGTCTGGCAGTCAACGTGTTAATTAGCAAAGAGCAAAAAATTATACATGGATATTTGAACATGCATTAATCAGGTTAGCATAATAAACCTTGCATAGGCCATGGATAAACTGCATATGTTTTTTAATGCTAAAAAATAATGAATTTTGTTTTTGCAGGGCTGAAAATTTTTAGTATTCCCCCCTTTTTTTTAAAGGTCAGAAGGAATGCAAGATTCCAGCATTCCTATGAATTTTGAAACTTTTTATGCAAATTTAAAAATAAATGGATTAAATATACATATTAGATTTGCACATTTCATCAAGCATGTTCTGTTAAGGACTTGGCTTTCACTACATGTATTATATATAATAGAAGGTTTATCTGTTAATTTAAAAAATGGGCATATTTTAAAAATATAATGAAAAAGCAACAATACAGGAAATAAAAAGTAAAATGTAAGTATAAAGTTTCATATTTCCCATAGGTGCTTGAAAATTTCTAATCACTTACACTAGGCATTTTTGGTAGTTGATGAGAAAGCAGTTGGTACAAGTAATGTCATATACGAGTGCGCTACAATCCTCCTGATAATCAAATAAAAACAAATCTTCTCAAAGAGAAAAGCCATAATTTAATTATGATTATAGCGTAAATATATTTAATTTCAATACATAACTGAATACTCTGACTGACTAGTTTTCTTAATTTACATCTCGTAATACATCATCCCAATGGAGAAACAAATTGTATTGAATGATTAAATAAACCTAAAAGTTGTATGACTTTTTATTCATTTTTTTATTCATGGCAATTAATATAAAGGCATAATGTCAATAAATTTAAATGAAACAATTTTTAAAGCAACTTAAGGAAACATCCAGTAAAACACACAAACAATAAACTGCAATAAAAAATAATTAATTACTTTAATAAAATGTAAAGAGAAAGATATTATTCACAAGAATCATTTGGTAAAAAATAAATAATAATACACAACAACAAATTTACATTAAGAGGAAAAGCAACAGAAATTCATTTTAAAATAGCGTTATTCTTATTTCCTCTGTAAAAAGTCGGTGTGAAAATTAATTAAACTTTAAAAAATAAAATACAATAATTTTTTATACAGCAGTATAGAAATGAAATATTACGGGTTAAAAATAAACGAGGAAAATGTGAAATAAAATTTAACTGAATGAAGGTCGAATAATTTCGAAATGCAATATGACACACAAAATTTTATATTTTCTAGAATATAGCACTTACAAAATTAAATTTTCATGAACCGCCCCAGAACTCATATTATTTTCCAGAAATGCAGAACACACGAATTTCAAACAAACATTACACGACGGATATTTAACCGGTTGAATGGAAAACACACCCTCTACCACCTACTCCTCGTACGTATTATACTACATTCAAGCCATTGCGAGGAAGCTAAGTTTTATTTACTTATCATTTCATAGTAACCATAAATATAGATAATTTTCATTGCTATATATTTAAGATTAAATAGCTATGTAAAAATTAAATAGCTTTGTAAAATTTTTTGTAAAAACTTTATCAAAATTCTAACTATACTGAAAATTTTCACTGTAACTGATAATAATCTCTGCGACTGGAGAATTTCGCGGATTAGAAGTATGGCTGGTTCAAGATCTATTCGAACAATTTTAGAAAAATTAGAAGAAAGTTTGAATATTGCGTGTGAGCAGTTATCAGGTACCGGTATAACTAAATGTCCGTTGAATAAAAAAAAAATGGAAGCTAATTTCGTTAATTAGTATTTTTGAATCTTAAAGCATATTTAATTTTCAGTGTGTAGAAATAAGGATTTCTGAATTAATTAAATATATTTTTTTCCCCTCCTATCCAGAAGAAACACCAAGTCGCGAAAATGCTGATTTTGACAAGGATGTGTTTTGGGCAAACTTTAGTAAGTTTTTTTAATACTTTTTTATTTTATTCAGTTTCATTTTTTATTTTTTAAAATTGAAATGGGAAGCACTTCCGCAGAGAACCCGGTAAATGTAAACATCGCCAACTTTGGCGATAATAGTTCAAACCTGGTAACACATCGGATATATCCTATTCGCTTGTTCGAAGTGTGCAACCATTCCTCTTGCGTTTATTTTGTTGAGTTGTCACAGTCTTTGTTCGTATTTGCAGATTTATATATTTCTTCTCTTATTTATTATTATTTTTTTCTGAAGTTTTTAACAACGAATAGATAGAAATATTTTCGTAGATAGATGCCGGTTCTCGGTTCGGGATGAAAGGAAGAAAATACGGGGGGTGGGGTGAATGCTAAATTGTAACACGGCTGTTTACGTTGTGTTCTTAATTATTAACAGCTCTAAGAACCATGAGGTTTCCAACGTCTAAAATAATTTGTTTTCGTAGACCGCAAAAATGTGCATGTGCATTTTAAATAATTAAGTAATGCTTTTATTTTTATTATTGGTTATTGTCATCTAAAATTATGAGAATAAATCAATTTTTATGGCGTAAAATTTTAACAAGATAATATATTGTTAATGCTTTTCTAACAATAACCTTTCAGAGGATGGCAGGTGTGACATAAATAGATGATTAAATTGAAATAAAAAATATTATTGATTATCTAAGATGACAGAATAGTTTGATGCATCACCATGGTCATCAAAATTAGCAAACCACTGCTGGAGTAGGGAATATATTGTTTTCTGTGTTAACTGGAATTTAAGACAAATTATCGTATATCACAAAATCGTATATCACCTTTAACCGGTTAATTTCAGTATATTATTACTAATTTATATTTTTAAATGAATTTTTATTTCAGTTATAAATGCTCTTATGCTTAATATATTCTTTTCTGTTGAATTTAATACAATTTTCGTATATCACGTTTAACCGGTTAGTTTTACATCCACATGCTTATTATCTGTGAATTTTTACTACAAATGCGTAATATATTGTTTTATCTGCTAACTTGAATTTACATGCACTAAAAATCACGTTTACAAAATATCACGTTTACGGCTCGGATCATCGTCGATGAACCGCGAGCTTGGCGAGTAAAAATGCAACGGCGCTAACGGGTTCTTTCCCGAAGCGCCAACGGGTTCTCTGCGGATGAAAACTCCTACAATATGCTTAATATATTGTTTTATCTGCTAACTTGAATTTACATGCACTAAAAATCACGTTTACGGCTCGCTCGGCTCATCGTCCATGAACCGCAAGCTTGGCGAGTAAAAATGCAACGGCGCCAACGGGTTCTCTGCGGATCAGAAATTGCTTTAGTGTTAGTTATCGATAGAGTAAAATCTTTGAGTGTTTATAACTTAAAAAAGTTCGATATTTCGGCAGAGTATATCATTGAAATAAGCAAATTGAAAAAAAAAAAAAAAAAAAAAAAAAAAAAAAAAAAAAAAAAAGAAACAGAAGTTGAATTGTAACTACTGCCTAAAAGTGTTCATTCTAAAGTGGACCTGACTGCCACTAAGTTCTTTTCTAGAGAAACCACATCAGGTGTTACCATTTTCACCCAAGCATCAGCGCCTAATGTCTCCATGTGCTTTAATCCTAGTATCGAGTGCACACGGGATTTGGCGACTTTATGATGAGCAGTAAAAACAGGACATATACGATGAGTAGTAAACGGGTCATTCAAAAAATATATATAGTTAAATATAGTATATATTATGTATATGCACACATAGTATATAGATGTTCTTTGTATCATTTTTGGTGTTGGCGATAATTTTCAAAATCGCGCCAAGGCTACTAGGATTTTACCCTCCATGTCATTTGAATATTGATTGTCTTTTAAACAATAACTTATTTCAGTACTGCCGTCCTATTTCACTGAGAAAGTACTGCTCCCACAAAAATTCGAACAAACTGAGTGAGGGAAAAAAAGTTACCATGTATCATATTGGGATTTAAAAGTTCATTTTCAGCATACAGTAAAATTAATTTGGAGCAGTTACGTTGTCAAATGTCTGTATTTAAAACAAGCAGTTTATATTTAGTTAATGTCTGTATACAATATTGAAAAAATAAATAAATAAATAAATAAATAAAACTTATGACTCTTAATTTTAGCTAATAATGTAATTAATTGGATACTAATGTATCAGCACCATCATCTTAGTGCTGTTTAGTGATTTTTTACAAAAGAAAAAGAATGTTGACTTATTATAAAAAAGTATCTTTTTAAATACTTATTTTAAATTTCATTAGCCATTTATCTTAAAATTCCATAAATAAACCAACTGACCAATAATAAAGCAGTGTTTATTTTATTCTGATGGAAATTTCCTGGAGTTGTGGCTAAGTGGTAAAGCTGTTAAACATAGTAGCTGACTCTGGGATTCGAATCGTGACAAACAGGCCAGCTGCATAGGTGATTTCGTGATTTTCCCTATGTGTAATATGTATACATGAGTAACACGTATACAAGATAGTTTCTCTTAGCAGGTCTTCTAAGAAGGCATTCGTATTCTTAGGCAGATAGCCCTCGAATGCTTTTCTGTAATCAAAAAATGAAATCTGAAAGCTGAGATTTTATGTTGTGCTCAAACCTCTCTCTCTCTCTCTCTCTTTTTTTTTTTTTTTTCTGTTTACAGACATATACACATTTAGAGAGTATTTGAGCTAAAAATATTTAAAAACAGCATATCTTTAGAATTTCTGATAGACAGTCTCACGTGCTTGAGATAAAAATTTTTTATTCCATATAGTGTTGCAACTGCTTCCTTTGAAATTGTTGAGTTTTTTTTTAAATTAAAAATTCGTAAAAGTTTTACAAAATATGAAATAGTCAAGAAAACAAATTCCGAATTTGGACTTCCAGGTGCCCATGTTCGGTTAAAGGACTATTTAATTCAAAATTTGATGACTCTAGGTACCGTAGTTTTTTCATAGTGCGAGAAAAATACATACATTTATGCAGATTCTTCATTATTTAATTTCTTCAAATATAATACAGATTTTTAGTCCAAAGGGGAAAATTGTCTTGAAGGACTATTAATTTCGCTTTGGCATTTTGCATCAAAAAGTTTAAAAGGCTGTATCACTTTTCAAATTGTTGCCACCATATATTATCACCCAGTCTTATATTTAAAGAAATTAAATAATGAAGAATCTGCATAAATATATGCATGTTTTTCTCGCATTGTGATAAAACAACGGTACCTACAGCCATAAAAATTTGATTAACGTAATCTTCTATAGAATATGGGCATGTGGAAGCCCTAATTTGAATTTGAAATTTGGTTTATTATCAATTTTATATTTTGTAACACTTCAACAAATTTTTTATTGAAAAACGAAATGATTTTAAAGCCAGCAATGGCAATACTTTACAAAAAAAAAAAAAAAAAAAAAAAAAAAAAAAAAAAAAAAAACATTTATCTGCAGCATGTGAGAGTCTGTATCGGAAATTCTAAAGATATGCTCATTTTAAAATTAATTTACGATATTGCTGTTGTACTGAATTTATAGTTTCAGCACATAAAACATGATATTAAATAAATAAAGGTAACACACAAAACATTAAAAAAAGCCCCTTTGGACGTAATTTAAAATCTGAAACCTTTCAGTTTTTTTTTAAAATTGTTATTCAGTTTCTTTAAATATAATACAGTACAATAATATTTTGTGCCAACAATTTGGAAATTGATTTAATGCAAAATACTATTTCAAGACTAATAGCCAATATTTTAAACATAGTTAATATAAGAAAATTAATATACATTAAAATAAATATTATTGTTAGTATAAAGTCATGTTAATATAAAAATGTGTGTCAGTTCTCTATCTGTGTCTGTCTAGTTAAGTATAAATCTGATGATGGATGCACTAATTCAAAACATGATATATAATGGGGGGGGATCCTACATTTTAAAGACAGCATGTGGCTTTTAAAATTTTTTTTCCTATCGTCACCTGTTTTCTATAATTTTCTTTGAAAAATATCCTAGACACACAGCACTGCATCAGAAGCTCAAAAATTAAAAAGAATAATGTTCAGACAAGCCTAACGGGGTTATCACATCTAATAATGTGCAGTGCCTAGAAGAAACTTTAAACTCGCAAAAAAAAAAAAAAAAAAAACGTTTGGTTGATCTTTATAATATGGTAACTGGTAGTTTGGCTACATTTTGGAGGCGATAAAGGTTACTACCTGGGACTTTGGTAATAATGTGAGCAGTACTCAGTTCCGATTACGCATTATTTTGTGTGAGGGAAATGAGAGATCATGGGATATGTCATGTGATATTAATGGACAAATTACGGTTCTTTAATCGGAAAAGGGGGGAAATCGGGAAAAAATCTGAAATTTTGTATTTGGTTTATCCTGTGTTGTGTGAAACACTGTTCGTGAATTTTTGGATCCCATGGCCGTAACTAAAGAAAAGTTTATCGGACACGTAATCAAGATTCTGAAGAAGATTAGGTAAGTTAGTATTTTTAATTATTTGTGGATATTATTTTATGCATTTGTTCTAAATGTAAGGTGGAAGTAAGGAATTTGGTATTATTGGGAAATTGTTATCAGCAATGATTTAGTTTAAAGTAATTAGGATGTAAGGTAATTTTTATTAATTTAATGTATGTGCTCATTTATATTTTAAGTAGTGTTTTTGAATTTAATTATATTTTAATTAAATGATAGTTATTTGTGAATTTTTATGTTTGTAGGAATTTGGTATACGTTTAAGTTGAAGTAAACGTGCATGGAAATAATTTAAATATTTGATACTAAGTATTTGTAAATGCTTGCGGTATGAATTCGTTGGTGATGTGTATAATGTAATAGATGATTAGAGGTAAAAGTTTTTGGATATTTTATTTATTTTATATGTGGAAATGTTCATATTTGGAAAGGGTAAATACTTTTTCGTGATCAGGTAATTTCATATATGTTCTTTTACCGGTTTTAAA